GAGCAAGAGCCGTCGCGCAAGCTGGCCTGCTGCGGGGTGCCCCTCATCACCGAGGACATGCAGTCCCTGGCCATCCGCACCCTCTCGGGCACCGACATCAGCAAGCACTACGACCTCATCCGCGAGCTCGGCAAGGGCACCTATGGCAAGGTGGACCTGGTGTCCCACAAAAGCACAGGTGAGGGGAGCAGGGGGGATGTGGGGGACGCGGCTGTGCTGGGAGCAGGGTGCCCGGCACGTCCCAACTGTGCCCCTGGCTCAACCCCATCCCTCGCCCACCACAGGCACCAAGATGGCCCTGAAGTTCGTCAACAAGAGCAAGACGAAGCTGAAGAACTTCCTGCGGGAATTCAGCATCACCAACACGCTCTCCTCCAGCCCCTTCATCATCAAGGTCTTCGACGTGGTCTTCGAGACCGAGGACTGCTACGTCTTTGCTCAGGAGTATGCCCCCGGCGGGGACCTCTTTGACATCATCCCGCCGCAGGTGGGAGCCCCTGCCCCTCCCGTGGGAGACAATTTGGGGTGCGGGGGCTCAGGATCCCCAAAGTGCTGAGCAAAGGTGCTGCTGTGCTTCGGTGGCCATGTGGGAGGGGGCCTCATGCATGGGGACTGGGCATCTCTGTGTGGGTTGGCACTGACCACAAGCACCTACAAGCAAGTCTGGGACCCATTACCTGTCCCCTGGGGAGCCTGAGACCCATCACCTATCCCTTGGGTGGCCTCAGACCCATCACCTGTCCCTTGGGTGGCCTGGAACCCATCACCCATTCCCTGGAGGTCCTGAGACCCATCACCTATCCCTAGGGTGGACTGAAACCCATCACCTGTCCCTAGAGTGGTCTGGGACTCATCGTGCATCCCTAGGGGAGCCTGAGACCCATCAACCTTCCCCTGGGGAGCCTGAGACCCATCACCTATATCTTGGGTGGCCTGGAACCCATCACCTATCCCTTGGTTGGCCCCAGACCCATCACCCATCCTTAGGGTGGCCTGGAACCCATCACCTATGCGTTGGGTGGCCTCAGGCCCATCACCCATCTCTAGGGTGGCCTGGAACCGACCACCTATCCATTGGGTGGCCTGGAACCCATCACCCATCCCTTGGGTGGCCTCAGAGCCATCACCCAATTCCCTGGAGGTCCTGAGACCCATCATCCATCCCTAGGGTGGCCCCACCTGTCTCCCTGCTGCAGAGAGCACCCCAGATGAAAGCAGCCCTGACTTGTTGGATATGTAATGACGTACAGATGTGGTGGTCCCCAAGCTGGGTGGGATCACCACAGGGTTTGGTGGTGGGTGGCTGATGCAGTGTCCCCGTGCCCACAGGTGGGGCTCCCCGAGGAGCTGGTGAAGCGCTGCGTGCAGCAGCTGGGCCTGGCCCTCGACTACATGCACAGCAAGAGCCTGGTGCACCGGGACATCAAACCGGAGAACGTCCTGCTCTTCGACCGCGACTGCCGCCGCGTCAAACTGGCCGACTTCGGCATGACCCGCAAGGTGGGCTGCCGGGTCAAGCGCATCAGCGGCACCATCCCCTACACGGCACCCGAGGTCTGCCAGGCTTCGCCGTGGACACCAGCATCGATGTCTGGGCTTTCGGGGTGCTCATCTTCTGCGTCCTCACCGGTAACTTCCCTTGGGAGGCGGCGGCGGCTTCTGACGCCTTCTTCGAGGAGTTTGTGCGGTGGCAGAAGGGGCGGCTGGCGGGGC